AGTTATATTATTAACTCAGATGTTTTGAGTTGTTACACTCCTTCATGTGTGTGTGTACGAATCAAATGATCTCTCAAACAATATACGTTCAAATAACATAAGCGGTAGTCCTAAATCACATTTAATTCTAAAAATCATAAGTAGCCTCTAGCAAACATCATGAATACCAAATTAAATGAAAATATCGTCAATCGTGATCCAAGACAATCTCAATATATCTCATGACATAATTTGTCTCATAAAATAATACCCCAAAACTAATTAATTTTGGAGATCGGATTCGAGAAGGAAGTGTTACACATAATATCTTGATAGAATATAAGACATGAAAAAAAACAACCTTATATTGTCAAATCTTTAATTTCTCAAAAATCAATTGAACTAAATAAACAAATTATGTTAATTTCTATCAATTTATTTGAGCACAGTCATACATTTCTCATTCTTAATCATAGAGGAGTCCAAAGATATCTGTTATAGTAAGATGGATAAATTCTATTTAATCACTCTATCTCTCACTACATGATTCTTATTATGTTCAAGCAAAATCTTTATAATTGTTTAGTTAAAGACAACATTTCATTATGTCAAAAAAAAAAAACAATGTCCCTCATATTGAGAATTGTAGTAATTTTAGGTCTAACGATCTAGTGACATAATTGCTAGAAATTATCTTATAATTTTGATCCATGTATTAATCTCAAAACTGGATGATCTAATATTTATTTTTAACAAATACATATGAATTTGACTTGTATCTCATACACATATATTCATCTCATGAAATCATCGAATTTCATAATAATCTTATTTATTATTATTCCCACAATAGTGATCGATCAGGGCATTTAGAATAATATATAATATTATTCAGTAATATTATTATAATATATACATGTAAATCACGATAATAATAAAATCAATCTTCATAAACAGTGAAAATACTATGTGCACATAATAAGCCTAGAGAACTATTACAAACACACTGTAGATTTGTCTATCTTTTGCTTGGATTCCTGCATACGAAACTACTGAATTTATATCACATTATTTTAGTTGAATAAAAAAACAAATATATACTAAATTAAAATTACAGATGACTTACAATATAGTTTATCATTTTATTTAAAAGTGGTAAAGATAAAAGCGTAAATTATTTTGAGCATAAACAAAAAATATTTATTAAAGTTAAAATTTTGTGCACATGATAATCAAAGAAAGAATGAAAAACTTATCTTTACCTCAAAAGTTACATCACATGTGGTATTTATAGAGTTATTCACTCATTCCCTTATTCTTGTAGTTTCATTTTAATTATTTAAATATTTTATTTTTTAAAATTATACTTAATATTATATTTTAATTTTTATCATATTCTGTTGGAAATGCTAACATGACAAAATTTTATTTTTCAGTGATGATGTATAATACAAAAATTAATAGAAGAATTTGACCTAAAATATATATATGCACTTGTTTTTTAGAGCCTAGTTTTAGGGTGAGTATTCAATCGAGTCAAATAAAAAAAATAAGTTAATCAACTGTTTTATCATTCAAACTTTGTTGAATTTTTTGAGTCTATTCAAATCAAATATATTTATTCTTAGTTTCTATTCAAATTTAAATGTAATTATTTATAACAACATGGTACAAATTGGTTCCAATTTAAATAATTTTCTATAACCATGTACAACATTATTTAATAAGATTTATAATGTTATTTAATAAATTAAATATACACAATAAGTTTAGAACATTATTTTTGAAAAAGGGGTTTTTGAGGGTAAAACATTGATGAGAGTATAAAGAAATCAATGAATTAGTGAAGAAGAAAGAATTTATAAAGAATTGCAATCAAATTTTAAAATACAAAGTTTAGATATTAAATTCAAAAACAAGAAATTTTGTTGTTAAAAAGAGGAATTGAAGTTACATAAATATTTTACGTTGTAGAGGATCATGTGATTCAAATTTAGTCAAAAATAGACTTAAAGCAAAAGATGATTCAAATTTCGTGATTGAGGAGCTTGTGATTCAAATTTCGTCAAAAATAGACTTGAAATAAATTATAACTTTACAAGCATCAACCGAGTGATGGAAGGCAACGACTGGCCTATACTATTTGGAACTATTCTTTGGCCACTGTGGGAAAGGAGAAATAGAACCACCTTTGATCCTGAAATGGCTGAGCACGAGACTGTTTTAGAGAAAGCCACGAGAATAATGAAGGAGATCGCTAACAGTAAGAACCCTACCAAACGGGGGAAATACTCGGAGCACGAACCAAGAAAGGGAGAAGTGGATCCTGCCTCAGGAACCGTGGGTCAAAATGAATACAGATGGCACAAGGAACAGAAAATCGAGGGAAGCAACCTGCGGGGGAGTCCTAAGGAACCACAAAGGGTAATGGCTAAGGGGCTTTGCAAAACGAATAGGTAATTGCATGCCATCCGAAGCCGAACTGTGGGTTGTTCTTGAGGGGCTCAGAATATCGTGGAAGTCGGGAGCCAGGAAAATTCAGTTGGAAACCGACAGCAGTGAAATATGGTAGCGGATGGGTTAGCAAAGTATGCATGGTCGCTCTCTCAAGGGATGCATGAACTAATGGAACCCCCTGAAGAAGTGAAAATTGATGTGTAAAGAAGAATTGAAATAGGCGTGTAGCCCTCCCATGCAAACAAAAAAATAATAATAATAAATGATAGATTGATGAAGTAAAAAATTAAAAACTAAATCATAAAAAATAATTTTTTAATTAAAAATTAAAATAACATCGTTTTATTTTTCAACTATTCAAAATCTAAAAATTTAAACTCGACTTAAATTTAAAATTGCACACGACAATCATAGTGGTCAAAGTAAGATATATCTTTCGTTTTTCAATTTCCCCCTATTTTGGTACGACTGTCACAATTTGTCAATTGCTTCTGTGCTTACAAGTATAAAATGAAAAAAAAGATTGAAGGGTGGTTTCGTACACTTTTTTTTTTTTGGATATACCATTCAAAACATGAAACAAAGAACAGGGTCACGTTAGAAAACTCCCTAAATCTAAATGGAGGAAAAAGAATGTACCTGTCAATGTTAATAGATTTGATATTCCTTACAGCAATACAAAGATACAACAACACAACACAGATATTACCTCACATGGCAACCACCAGAATGGACCAAAATATTGACAACAAACTGTTACAGCTCAGCCGTTCACCCGAAGATCCAACCACAGCAATTACTAAATGGAGCGAAATGATGCTAAGGGTCCACAAAAGAACAAAATCCTACCAAAAAAAAAAAACTCCCATAACATGTACCACTTCCAAACAACACAAAGTCGAAGAAGAAAAACACCCTGCTTCAAATAATTCGCCGCAACAGTTCAGAGTTCCACCCACAACTTTTAATTCCCAAAATACAAGCAAAAACTCGAGCCAAAAGATAAACCAACTATATGCACAGCCAACCAAAAGAATTCAGCTATCCATGCCAGCTAAAGGAGAGCATAAACAGGCAAACACCAATCTGCAGATATGCTAAAGCAGACACACAACACGGCAGCAACCTAAAACATCAAGAACAGGCATCCCACTGCTAACAAGAAACTGAAATAAGTGCTACGTGCAGCATCACACCGAAAATCAAGAACAAAAAAACAATACCCTGCAATTTGTAACAACAATCCAAATCAAGAAAACACACAGACAAGCAGCCTCCTCAACGAACCAAGTCAAAATAAACCCCCTCTATTTAGCATTATCTCATAATAATAAACCATCGCAGCAAACCAGCACCACAAAAAATCGAACACCACCTGTAAACCTCCTATTAACTGGGATCGGTCATGAACAAATTCAGACAGCGGATAAAATCACCAACATTTTGTATAGCACAGGGCCATTTGCTCTTGCACCATAACACAATCCTGCAAAGAGAGTTTATTCAGGTGCCTCTCACAACAAGATTTGTTATTAAACATTAAGTCATTCCTCTAAGGCCAAATGGACCACACAAACCCAAAGAAAGCCATGTGCCAAATCGGTTTAGATCTCCTTTTAATTGGTAAATTATCCCAAGCCAAAAGAAAGCTTTTGACCTTATTTGGGAAGACGATCTTGATGCTCCAAAGAGCACACCACCTTTACCAAACTCTCCAAACCACCTTGCAATGGCAAAACAAATGGACAATAAACTCATGTTCCTCCCGGCACAACAGACAAAGGTAAGACTCAAGATTGACTACTACTCGTTTAGCCAACTCAAGTAACGAAGGAATCCTTTGAAGCACAACCCTACGGTGCGAGATTTGCCCAAACCAATTTCCAAACAGGATCTTTAATCATTCCCTCACAAGCTACACTAATATAGAAATTCTTTGGTGAATATGACTCCTTCCCAAGGCCCATCCAGACTAAATGATCGTGAGAAGCACTACCTCTAACTGCAGCATCAATCACATTAACAAATTCCTCGAAAATACCCCATTCCCAATCAAACAACACCCTACGTAGTTCAATATGCCAATTACACACCCATTAACCTTTGACCCGAACTCAATAACCTTACCCGATTCCTTAATTGCAACGACATAAATACGTGGAAATGCCACTCTAAGGGAAGACACATTGGTCCAAAAATCCTCCCAAAAAATCAATAGAACTCCCATCCCCAACTACACATCGTGTTTTTGTGTGAACACATCATCACCATTTCCCATTGGGCACGAGATACTCCTCCACACCTGTGAACACTAATTTTCGCCCAAACTACCCAAACAACCCGTGATTTTTGTCCTACTCACGCCTCACGCCAGCAGCAACCAACCACCGAGATTTCCGGCGCACAACCAAGCAGAAAGAACGAGTTAGTTTTTGAGTCCAACCGGGAGGCTAAAACTAGCCGAAAATGAAGGGATTTGAAGCCTATAAATTCATGCATGGAACCATTCGAAAAAAAGGGGGAGCAATAACAAAGAAAAAAAGAATTGAAGAGAGAGAGGTGCTATGGCCTCTCATAGCACGAAACCATCCAGCAGTATACTCATGCCACCAGCTTCCTCAACCTTGTTAGCCTCTACATCCACGGCGTCAACGCCCTTAACCAACCCACACACCCCTCTCCTTCAGAAGACTCATCAAAGCCATGCCTTTCTCAAACCCAAAACCACCTTCCATTATGGAACCTCACCCATGCCCTTCTCCATCTCTTGTTCATCCACCATACAACCTTCCCTTCAATCCCAATCTCAAGAGCGGGTTTTTAATTTCGCCGCTGGTCCCGCCACCTTGCCCGAGAACGTCCTCCTCAAGGCCCACACCGAGCTTTACAATTGGTGCGGATCTGGAACAAGCGTCATCGAAATGAGCCACCGCGGGAAGGATTTCCGAGGCCGATCTATGTGCGCCTCTCGACATATCCGAAGACTCCGCCGTTTTGTTCCTCCAAGGTGGGGCGACAACCCAGTTCGCTTCTGTCCCTTTGAATCTATCAGCCTGATGACACCGTTGATTATCTTGTTACTGGTTCGTGGGGAGACAAGGCTTTCAAAGAAGCTAAGAAATACTGCAAACCCAAAGTTGTTTGGAATGGGAAATCGGAGAATTACGTTAAGGTTCCATCGTTTGATGGGTTGGACTAAGCCCGAATGCCAAGTATTTGCATATATATGCGCCAATGAGACTATTTATTGGGTCAAAGCATCAGAAAATCTGTATGCACAGGAGGTAAAGCAAAGGAAGGAAATTGAAAAAGCATTACTCAAAAGCATATGGGACCCTTCATGATTTTTTGTTTGGTTTTCTCTTAATTTTGGTACTGTCATAATACATGTACAGTACAAAGGTGACCACAACAACAACAAAATTCAATTCCCGTGACTACATATCAGAATAGCAACCTCCCTAATTGCCATTATCATTGAAGAATTATAAAACACTCTCTGTAATGGAGAATTTGCTTTGTGATGAGGATTAGAGCTGTTCAATGGCTTATCAAGATTGGTACTGGGTTAAATCTCTCCACTGGAACCGTTTTCAATGCAATAAATTACCTGGATCGCTTAATATCAAAGGTTTTTTTTATTATTTCATTACTTTTAAAATTTTTATATTTTTTTACTTTTATTTTATTTTTTTATTTGATTTATTTAATATTTTTTTCTATCTAACATTTTCAACCTTTTCTAGAAGAATTACAACCAATCAAATGTAAGCAATTCGAATCGGATATTTTAAATTTAAATTTTTGCAATTAAAGACAACCGAAAAATTAATTGGTACCGAAAGGGCGGTTCAAGGGTGCTAATCCTTCCTTGACCGTAACCGACTCCCGAACCATACATATTTATGGTAAAACGCAGATCAGGTAAGATGGTGTTTGATCTATCTAAATATCGTTTTAAAATGATCGATGGCGACTCTAACCCAATTTTCAAGTCGAACTCTGATTCCGGGCCAACCGAAAGACGGCCGCGACAACACCCGAGATAATTTACTAGAATTCACCGGTCTTAAATCATCGAGGAATGGTCAAAATTGTACTTGGATTCAAAACCTTTCCTCCACAAACTCGAAGACTCCTCCCCGAACCTCCATAGCCATATATTTAGCAGGGAGCGATTCTTCAGCTTTAGATCAAAAACGCCTAAACCACCAAACTCCTTTGGTTTACACCAAGGATTTAAATAGCGTTCGCGGTCGTATTTTTGGTCGCTTCGCGTTTATCGTGGTTGCGAACATAACGGATGCCATCGTAGTCACTGCGGGTGTCGCGGTGGTGAAATTTTTTAAAATTCGCACAACTTATCCTAAAATATAATAATTATAGTTATAATTTTAAAGAGTCATTATTATTAAATAAGACTATCAACATAGAAAAAAACTCTAAAAAATAAAATGGATAAAATAAATTACTCATTATGATTCATGTACAAAAATAACATATTATAACTTACTAAAATAAACATGTGTAAAATAAAAGATCCAAATCAAAAGATCAACAAAATCTCGAAAAGTGACTAAATTGGAGACCAAATTAAAATACATAAAGTCTTAATCAGGGGACTAAACTGAAATTGAAACAAAATTATAAGCTTGAATTGAAAAGATAAAAATTTTATTTGATGACTAAAAGGAAAATTTACAAATGGAAAGGGTCTCACCGAGTGATTTACCCATGTGTCAAATTCATGAAACCCCACCTCTAAAAACGGCGTCGCACGTATTGTTATTTATAACCCAAAAGCTAGGTTATGAAACCCACATTTTATTTCTTCATTTTGCTAAAAGCCAAGTAAAATTTTAGAGGCCTCAACCGTGTAGTCCATCGGTCATGGAAATTGGCGACAACCATCCACAGTGACCGTCGATGGTCCAAGAGTCTCAGAAGACTCGTCTCGTTCCCCCAAACTCGAATCTAAAACTCATTTTTCCTAAAACCAAAAACCAAACCCTTGATCGGCTGGTTTTTGTTTTTTTTTGTTTTCGAATCACTCGATTTTTGTTGTATTCGACTGATTTAGTGTAACAAAAAATAACGGGAATAGTAGGTTGTTATCGTCGCGATCGGCCGTTACACATTAAGTTACGACCGCTATTGGTCTGATTTTGTGTTCACACTGCTATTTCGGGCAATATCAATTTCAGACGGTGACGCTACCATAAAATAGCGACCGCTATAGCATTTTTGTTTCGCTATTTGAAACCCTGGTTTACACACTTGGTCTCACTTTACCCAATGAATAACTTTCCCAGAAGAAGACCCCCCATAAGAGATTCGCAATCAATTTATTCAACTTCAAAATTGTAGTAGAAGGCATTTGAAAGAGAGAAAGATAGTATACCGGTAAGTTCGAGAAAACTGATTTAATCAGTGTTAGACGACTGCCAAAAGAAAGGAACTTCCCTTTTACCCCTCTAATCTAGAGCGAACTTTCTCCATAATAGGATTCCACTACTCACAAGAATTTATATGATACCCCAAAGATAAGCCCAAATATTTCGAAAGGAAAGTGTCCACTTCGTACTTTAGAGCTGCTGCCCGGATTCTCATCAATCCCAATCCCAAACATTTTTTACTTTTTCAAGTTTAGCGTTAACCCGAAGGTTAATTCAAATACCCTCAAGACTCTCTTTAAATTACTAACCATCTCTAAACTAGCCTTAGAAAAAAATTAAGTCATCCGCAAATTGAAGATGTGAAACTCGTAAAGCGGAAGTCTTAACTTGTACCCCTTTGAACATATCGATATCCACAGTTTTACGAAGCACTCCATTTAGCGCTTTTCCCACTAAATTAAAAAGTAAGGGAGACAATGGACATCCTTGCATGAGGCCTCTTCTGCTCTAAAAACTATCTGAGGGAGCTTCATTCACAAGAACTAAGATAGACGTAGATGAAATGCATACGTTCACCCATCTTCTCCACCTCTTCCCAAATCCCATCTTCTTGAGAACAAGGTCTAAAAAACCCTAATCGACTGCATCATAGGCCTAACAAAAATCTTCTTTAAAGATAATAGCTTCTCTCTTCCTCCAAGTCAAAGCGTCGATAATTTCATTAGCAGTCAACGAACAATCCGTAATTTGACTTCCAACAATAAATGCGAACTGACACTTACCCACCAACTCGTTCATGAACCCAAACAACCTTATTGAGAACACGCATGCCACAATTTTATACAAACTACTAACAAGGGAGATGGGCCTATAGTCATCGACGCTTTCTGGTGCTATTTTTTTGGAATCAAGGTAATGAACGAATGATTGAAATCTTCTAATCTAATTCTCCCATTGTGAAACTCAGCAAAGAAATCCACCAATTCACCTTTGATGAGATGCCGAAACTCCTTAAAGAAGCCCATATTGAACCTATCCGGCGTAGGCGACCGAGAGTCATCTACTGACCTAATGGCGTCCTAAATTTCCTCCTCCAAGAACGGGCTTTCAAGAGATCTTCAAAAGAAGTGCTTAACTTCCTAAAACGCACTCCCAAACTCTGATTGGGATAAAACTGACTGAGCTAAATTTTTCCCGGAAATAATCTTCAAAGGCCTTGGAAATTTGCTTATCATCCTTAAGCACCACACCCCCCACCCGAACGACTGAAATAAGCTTTTTTCTCCCTCTAAAAACAGTTGTAAGATTGTAATCACCATTTTTTACCATTATTATTTTTATTATTTTATTATTATTATTATTATCTTTTTCATTATTATTATTATTATTACTTTATTATTATCTTATTATTATTATTATTTTGTTATTATTATTCTATTATCATTATTATTATTATCCTTTTTTATTATTATACTATTATTTTTATTATTTTATTATTATTATTCTATTATTATTATTATTATTTTACACTACCTTGTTGAGCCCAATCACCATTTCAAAACAAAGTCCAACTATATTATATTTTAAACCCACTTACATAAGTTAAAAACCAAATTAATCCATATGCCAAACCCTTACATACCATACCCGTTTACATTACAATCTCCTACAACCAAAACCCTAACCCTAAAATTTTTAGCTTTAACTACCCCAAATCTCAACTATTAGATCTGGTCATGATCCAATGGTAGAGATTAACCATAAACATTAAAGGTTTTTAACTATTGCACCGTTTCTGTACCCACATGTAACCTCAAATGGTCACCTCCATTAGCCAGGCCAGTAGCAAGGTCCATTCCCAAGCCCTCAGTTGGTTTCAAGCAAGCATAAGGTAGCCCCCACTACCAACCGAGCCTTCCTCGTCACATGAGCAGCTCTAGTCAGTAGGCCATGTCACAAAAACAACACCAAATCATCATCCAAATCAATATGCAAGGAAAAAAACAGAAAAAATTCAAAACAAAATGCAATCTTTCTCATTTTTACCCTTGTAACCTCAAATGGGTTATAAAACCCTAACTTTGATGGTAACAGGTTGGCATTTTGAACTCCCCAAAAATCTCAGAAGCAATAGAGAGGTATCTTACCTCATTTATTTCTTTCTTTTTTTGAGCAAAGTATTGCATGCATGGGGGGTTTTCTTTTCGAAACAATAGAAAGAGGGAGCATTTTTTTACCTAGGTCGTTGGGCTCCCCATCGGAGTCTAGGTCACCGGAGAGTTGGGAGTTAAGGCATCGATAAGCATTACGAGTTTTAGGGGGTTCGATTAAGGTTTTTTAGCCCCAAATATGAGCTTTAGGTTTCGTGTGGGGGTTATTTTGGGGCTCTTTTGGTCTAGGATAGAATTGACCACTGATAGTAGTGGTCGGGGGCGCTCATCTCCGATTTACGGCATCCTTAAGGGGTAGGAAGTGCTCGATTTTCTAAAAAGGAAAAAGGTAAGAGAGAAAGGTTTGGGCTTTGGTTTTCGTTTAGGGGGTCATTTCATCTCCTTGGGCAGTGTGATGATTTGCTCAAGAATTTTAGAAATGATTAAGAAAATATAGAAGATAGATTGAAGAAAAAGAATTCTCAATATTTTCATTCATAGATTTGATGCTCATTACAACTGATTTTTTTATAGGAATAGCCATAACAGATTGCCAGTTGTGCATTATTTTTTAACAAACTAGATTCCCTTAACTGATTTGTCTTCTACTGTTGATGCAGATTGTTAGGCTCATTTTCCTTCTCAGGTCCACTAATCACTCCCTCCTTAGCTCCATCAGCCCACGCCTAAGTTCTGGTCCATCAGGTAATAACATAACCCTATCCTTCTGCTCTTTATCTAATTTCCCAATTTCAATCCTTAATTTCCATATATTCCCTTTTTCTCTCAATAATCTAA